ATGAGTACAAGGTCACGACACCTGTCCTCTCTGAAATGCCATTTTGAGCTCCAAAAACTAGTCTTTCAGTTTTATTTAAAGTAACAATAGCTCTGAGGTGTTCTCTGCTGCGAAATGAATGGGAGTGCCTCCAGATAATTACAACCTTGACCCCCTAAACCGCGTACTCTTTTTCCCAGCAGCCCAGGTTAGGACTTAAAGAGGCAACGCACGTCCTACTGGGAACTGTAGTTCTCGCCACCTCGACCTTCAACCACTGGCTGGGCGAACCCCAGTGCTTCACGTGCCTAACCGGCGACACGGGCGCCAGCAGCCAGGATTGGTCCCTGACTGAGCTCCGCTGTGCTGATTGGAGGGCAGTACTCGAAACCGCGCCCCTCTCCCTGCGCCCGCCTCCCCGCCACCTTCTCTCCACAACCCCCTTACTTTGACAATAACTCTCACTCATCTTAGTCAGACTAACTCCTCAATTATCTATCTCACAGGTTCCCCCGGAACTCTCGTAAAGAGGGCAACCCCGACACACGCCTTTATCCGAGAGCCTACGCAAAGGCAAAGCCTGCCCGTTTTCCATTGTCTGCCTCAAGTCAACTCCTTCACGTGCTCTCTCTCTGCACATCGACTCCCGCGCTCACCTGAGCGGCAGCGGTCACACCCGATAACTGACAGGCCCGCAGCATCTTGGAGGCCGGGTGTACGGTGACACTGGTGCGCGCGGGAGCTGCCGCGGCGGCGCAAGTAAAGAAGGGAGGGCGTGCGGAAGGGCGTGCTTGCGTGCGTGCGTATATGCGTCCGGGTTGCCCCTCTGAGCCCGATCACCGGAAGCGCAGCCAACGCCACTACGCACGCGCAACTCCTTCGCCCCTCCCACTCTTGTCTTTTCACGCTCCAGGCCAGGATGTTACGGAAGACTGCAACTGGACCAGATTGTGACTGGTTGCGGTGGTAACCCAGCTGTAGCTGGGCCCTGCGTGCTTTAGATGATTGCTGAGAAGGACGTTGATAGGACGACTTCTTCCGGGTCGTGCTTTGGTCCCTAGTGAACCCAAAGCCGGAATCACTAACTGAATCAGCAGGGCGTCAGAAACCCTTGTCAGACTACACGCTGAAAACAGGTAGATCTGACTTCGGAGAATTCAAGCAAGAAAGACAAAGACGATTCTCAATCGTCTTTGTCTGCTGAATATTTAGTAGAAAATAATTGATTTGGCCAAAGTTACGTGACGTGAACAATGGCGTTTGTACATTTGCTTCATTTGACAGCTCTTCGGGATCTTCCGGCTTGCTGCAGACTTGTGACAAGTGGCAGAACAGGGATTAGTTGTCGTTGTTAGTTGCCGTCGAGTCGGTCCCGACTCATAGCGACCTTATGTACAACAGAACGAAACACCGCCCGGTCCTGCGCCGGACTCAAAATTGTTGATAGGCTTGCCAACAAGTCTGTGTTAGATGTATAGCCAGAGCGCTCTTTAGAAGTCAGAATGCCCAGACTTTGTCTCTCATACTTTGAACGTATTATCAGGAGGGACCTGGAGAAGAACACCATGCTTAGTAAATTGGAGGGTCAACGAAAAAGAGGAAGACCCCCAACAAGATGGATTGGCACAGTGGCAATAGCAGTGAGCTCAAGCTTGGCACAGGACTGGGCAGTGGTTCTGTTGTACATCGGGTCGCTATGAGTTGGTACCAATTCGATGGCACTTAACAATAACAACAGAGTTTTTCCAGAGACTACCCGTCTACCCGTCTATCAATGGAGGTTTGCATGTTACTATGATCCTGAATAGATTCTACAAGAGTCTCCAGACTAAAACTAGGAAAGGAGGCCTGCCAGTCTACTGAAAAGCAGCCAGTGAAAACCTTATGGGTCACCACAGAACATTATTCAATCTATAACTGATCACAGGGATGGCACAGAATCCACCAGCATTTCACTTTATTTTGAATCAGGTCACCATGAGTTAGGGCCAATTCAATGACAGCTAACAGCAACATGGTACGTGATACCGCAGCAGATTGAATGCAGAAGCAAACATTTTTAATTAAACTTTTTATTGTGAATTGAGTTGAGGTTTACAAAACAGATCATCAGCTCTACATTCAACATATCATACACTTAGTTTCATCTAAATAATTGCAATCCCCTCTATGTACAGAAGCACATTTTTAGAATATAGGTTTCTATTAAGTTAGACATTAAAGTGATTTTCACAAATTAAAACAATGTCACTTGTTATGGATTGAATTATGTCCCCCTAAAATATGTGTTGTAAATCCTAACCTGTATGGCTGTGGTTATAATCCCATTTGGGACTAGGTTGCTTTGTTATATGAATGAGGAAGGATTAACGTAACTTTTATCTTGAGTCAATATCTTCTGAGATATAAAAGATATTAAACACAAGCTAGCAAGCAGAGATGGATTAAGAGATGGAAAAAGGAGATCTCCAGGGAACCAAAAAGCAGAAACTAAAGAAACAAAGACATTTCTCCAGAGCGAACACTGACCTTGAGGTTGGGAGTCCAGTGCTTATCACATAGTACCACACCACCACACAGATTAAACAAGATAGAGGAACAGATGTGCTGCTGTAGGATAATTACTGGGCTGCTAACCACAAGGTCGGCAGTTCAAACTCACCGGCTGCTCATTGGAAACCCTGTTGTTGTTGTTGTCAGGTGCCATCAAGTCGGAACCGACTCATAGCGACTCCATGCACAGCAGAACGAAACAATGTCCGATCCTGGGCCAACGTCACTACCGCTGCCACACTTGAGTGCATCAATGATGCCACCTGGCTGATCCATCTCGTTGGGGGTCTTCCTCTTTTTCTCTGACCCTCCACCCTACCCAGCATGACATCCTTCTCCAGCGATTGGATTGTTTCCTCCGGACAATATGTCCAAAGTAGGAGAGACGAAGTTTAGCCATCCTGGCCTCCAAGGAGCACTCTGGCTGCACTTCCTCCAAAACAGATTTATTGGTTCTTTTGGCAGTCCATGGCACTTTCAGTACTCTCCTCCAACACCACAACTCAAAGGCATCAATTCTTCTACAATCCTCCTTATTCACTGTCCAGCTTTCGCATCCATATGAGGCTATTGAAAACACAATGGCCTGGGTCAGGCGCACCCTAGTCCTCAAGTTGACATCTCTACTCTTCAATACTTTAAAAAGTTCCTGTGCAGCAGATTTGCCCAGTGCAATACGTCGTCTGATCTCTTGACTGCTACTTCCGTGAGTGTTGATAGTTGATCCAACACTAGACAGGGTCATTGTGCATCTGAACTGACTTAACAGCACTTAACAACAGCAACTACAACCAAGAAAGAAGAGCCAGTAATGTAGCATGTTCTTTGGACCCAAAGTCTCTGCATTGAGAACCCCTAGGCCTAGGGAAAGATTGATGCCAAAACACAGAGATTGCAAGGAATGCTGGGCCCATGGACCTTCCCCCAGAGCTAACAAAGAAAGAAAGCCTTACCGTAGATTGGCACCCTGAATTTATACTTCTAGCCTCCTAAACAGAAAATAAATTTCTGTGTGTTAAAGCCATCCACTTGTAATATTTCTTCTTCTTTTTTTTAAATTTTTTATTGTGAATTGAGTCAAGATTTACAGAGCAGATCATCAGTTTTACATTCAGTAGATCACATGCTTTGCTTCATCACAATGGTTGCAATCCCCTCCAGGTATCATCAGTTAACAGTATTTAAATCTTTACGGGAGCAAAAAAAACCCTCATCTTTCTCTCTCAGATTCATTGGTGGGTTTGAACTGCCGATCTTGTAGTTACCAGTCCTAGTAGCACCACCAGGGATCCCCGAGCACACCTCAACCAGAAGCCTTTTTCTTCCATATGCATGGAATATTTCGATATTCTTTACAGGGAGGAGATCTTAGGCAACATGAATGGAAGAGCTTTTTTGTTTTCTACTTAAAGGAACATTAGCTACACCCACTATCCCAGATAGATGTATCTCATTGGTTCTGAGGGAGCCTTTTAATGAGGGGCCTGTAAAACTAAAACTTTTCATAATAATATTAACAAATTATTTGCCTTTTTAACTCTCATTAACTCATAAGGGTACAATGGAGGACTCAGGTAAGCCTGATCCAAGCCATGGTATTTTCAATAACCTCATATGCATGTGAAAATTGGATAATGAATAAAGAAGACAGTAGAAGAAAGGATGCATTTGAGTTGTAGTGTTGGAGGAGAATATTAAAAGTACCATGGACTGCCAAAAGAATCAACAATTTTGTGTTGGAAGAAATGCGGCCAGAATGTTCCTTATAAACCAGGATGGCCAGACTTGTCTCTCATACTTCTGACATATTATCAAGAGGCATCAGTTCCTGGAGGACATCATGCTACGTAAAGTGGAGCTTCCTCGAAAAAGAGGAAGACCTCCAACATGATGGATTGGCACAGTGGCAGCAGCAGTAGGCTCCAGAGTAGCAAAGATAGTGAAATTGGCACAGGACCGGGAAGTCGTTCTGTTGTCGCTATGCGTCAGAACTGACTTGTGGGTAGTGGACAATAACCAACGAGAATCCAGTAAATGACAATAGCCTATACACAACAGGATTGTTTGCTGTTGTTGTTAAATGCCGTTGAGTCAATCCCGTCCCATAGCGACCCTGTATAGACTTTCCAAGGAGCAGCTGGTGAACACAACAGGATGGGACCGTTTAATCCGCATGGATTTCATTGGCTAATTTCTAGAATGTCTTCTTTGGAAGATTCGCTGAACCTGTTCAACATGGTCGAAACACCTAACAGTCTACTGACCTTGAAAAAAAAAAAAAAAAAGACTCTAATGACAAAAATCCACTGACAGACTGCTAAGCATTATTAAAGGTTGACCTGACAACTACTTTATTCCTTTTTTTTTCCTTTCACGATTCCGCCCCTATTACTTTTTTTTTTTTTTTCTTTTTTCCTTTGCGCTGGTGGTTTTAGACCCAACGCGGTCCCCGTAGTGCGGTTGGCAAGATGGCGGCGCCCACCTTTTCCAGTGCCGTGAGAATTGCATCAGGTTAGTGGGGGTTAAAGTGATCGATCTATAGCTTCTCAAAAGGTATTGATACGGGATGAAGTAGGATTTTGGCCTGGCAGTTAATAAGAAAAAAGGGCTGCTATTGGAGCCCAGTGAGTTGCTTTGGGTTTCCTACGGGTGGTGTGAGGCCGCCACTCCGCACCCGTGTCCCGCATTTTCCTTACCGACTTTTCGTCACCCTGCCCCTATTAAAAAGAACCAAAAGGACTGAAGCGGAAGGGGCTAGAGAGGCATAAAAAGTCACAGCTAATTTTTTTTTAAAGGTTAGGTCCCGCTTGCCACTCACAACCTTTGACCTTGAAAAAGTTATTTAATTTCTCTTGAGTTTCAGATTGTACAATTGTAAAATAGGGATAATACAACTTGCCTGAGGATAAGTGAACTCGTGCATGTGTAGTGCGTGACACATAAGTTTGTGTGTAGAAGCTTCTTACAACGTACCTATAGTCTTCAGACAAAAGTTGAATGTAAGGCTTTCATGACATAACTGAAGTACCGGCAGCTAAATGAAGTTGTCTCCACGCTAAGGAGTTGTTGCAAAACGTTTAAAAAGTCGTTCATTCAAATTCATAAGATTATTAATAAGTGGTTTTCACAAAACTATTTTGTTAGAAGTTTTGTGCGAGAGGAGGACTAGAAATAAGTTGAAGAAAAAAGAAACGATGTTTTCCAGTTGTTACAAAAGAGCTTGTTTATGTGTGGACTTTTGCACGTGCCTCTATGAAGTTTAATACATATATAAGGAAAAGTTTGTATAACATACCACCCAGAGCCATCTAGTTGATTTCAACTCATAGTGATTGTATAGGACAGGGTTCTTTATGGTTTCTGAGACTGTAAACAGACATTGATGGTTTAATAAATAACTCTAAAGCAAACACCCATGTAAGTAATACCAAGGTCAAGTCAGAGAACACTATTAGAAGCCCTTTCTTTACCGTTTTGTAAAACCTTCCCTATAAAAATTCCCCACTTTCTCCAAAGGTTAACACTATTCTCATTTTTATAACTATTGTATGTCTTTTTTTCCTTTAATAGTTTTAATTTCTGTTTATGCATCTCTAAATAATGTTTAGTTTTGCCTTTTTCTGGACTTTACATGAATGGAATCACATAGTATATAGTCTTTAGTGTTTGGCTCCTTCACTTTGTAGATTCTTTCATGCTGGCTGTAGCTGTAGTTCTTTTTCATTGCTATGTAATATTCTGTTATGTGACTATCCCACACATCTCCATTCTGCTGTTGGACATTTGGGTGTTTCCAGTTGGGACAATTAATTATGTACAAAGCTGCTTGATCATGTGCCCTGTTATGTGAATGCAAGGGTTTCTCTAAGAAATATGTGTGTGCGTGAAATTGCTGAGTCAGAGACTGTGTGTATAAGAGGGTTTCAAAAAGTTAGTAGAAAAATCCTAGTATCTTTTAACCCCATTTTTCTACTAACGTTTTGAAGCCCCTTTGTACATTTCTCACCAACACTTATTACTGTCAGGTATTTTTTGTCAGTCTGGTGAGTGTGTTGATTAGTGCCATCAGTCAGTTCAGACTCTTAGCTACCTTGTATCGGGTTTCCCAGGAGCAGATGGTGAATTTGAACTGCTGACCTTGCAGTTCAAACTGACCTTGTGGTAAGTGCTTATCCTACAGCAACCACACCAGGACCCTGGTGAGTGTGTTGTTGTTGTTGTTGTTCTTAAGTGTCATCTAGTCGATTCCGACCCATAGCGACCCTGTATAGAGTTTCCAAGGAACAGCTGGTGAGCTTGAACCACTGACCTTGCAGTTCAAACGACTTTGCAGTCTGACACATTAGCCCACAGCGCCACACCAGGACAAAAACCCAAACCCATTGCTATCAAGTTGACTCAGATTCCTAGTTACCCTATTGGCCAGAGTAGAACTGCCCTGTAGAATGTCCATTGCCATAAATCTTTACAGAAGTAGATTATCGTATCCTTCTGTAGCAAAATGGCTGGTGGGTTCGAACTGCCAACCTTTTGGTTAGCAACCGGACACTTTAACCACTGTACAACCAGGGCTCTTACTGGTATCTTGTTGTTAAGTGCCATCAAGTCAATTCCGACCCATAGCGACCCTGTATAGGGTTTCCAAGGAGCAGCTGGTGAGCTTGAACTACCAACCTTGCAGTTTAAATGACTTTGCAGTCTGGCGCATTAGCCCACAGCGCCACACCAGGACTTCTAGTGGTATCTTACTGCGGTTTAAATATGCATTTCCTTGATGAGTAGAGTCTGAGTGCTTTTATACATGTGGAATTTATGAAGTATCAGTTTCTATCGGTTTATTTTACTTTTTACTGTGATTTGAAAGTTTTCAGAGCAAATTAATTTTCCATTCAACAATTCATGCACATTTTGTTTCCTGACATTCGTTGCAATCCCCATAATGTAATAGCTCTCTTCCCACTTCCTCCCTGGGTTTCCCTTTCCATTCGTCCTTCTTTCCCATCCTTTCCGGCATTCTAATCTTTATTTCTGGGCAAATGCTGCTATTTTGATCTCTAATGGATGATTGAACTAAGAAGCCTGTACTTTCCTGGTGTTACTGTTTACCTTCTGTTGCTGTTGTTGTTAGGTGTCTTCAAGTTGGTTCCTACTTGTGAGACCATATATACAACAGAATGAAACACTCTGGTTCTGCATCATCCTCACAGTTGTTTCTCTGTTTGAGCCCATTGTCGCTGCCACTGTGTCAGTCCATCTAGTTGGGGGGGTCTTCCTCTTCTTCATGGACCCTCTGATGTATCAAGCAGGATTGGTCTTCCTGATAACATGTTCAAAATACAAGAGATGAAGTCGAACTAGCCTGGCTTCTAAGGAGCATTCTGAGTGTGCTTCTTCCAAGACAGATTTGTTTGTTTTTCTCACAGTGCAGGGGACCTCCCTTCACCTTATATAGACTTGGCCCATTGTTTGGCTGAAGATTGAGTTCCGTTCCAGACTTGGGAGGGTGACTGAGGGTCACAGTTTTGGGAGTTGCAGAAGTCTTAAAAAAGCCTGGTCTTTTTTTTTTTTTTACAATTTTGAGTTTTATTTCACAGTTTTCTCCCACTTTATCTAGGACCTTTTAATGTGATTCCTTTCAAAGTATCAGTAGTGGTAGCTGGGCAGCATCTAGTTCTTCTGGCCTCAGGGTTATGAAGGCCAAGGTTCATGTCTCCTTGAGTGTTTTTTTGGAATCATTGTTTCCATGCTTTTCTTCACTCTGTTTTGCTTTGGATGGGGAGAAACCAATAGTTGCAGTAGTGTGTCTTTTGATGATAGGAAATTCTTATTTTCATATACTTGAATTTAGGATGCTTCTGTTTTTTAAATAGATGATGTGGAAAAAAATTTTAATAATGTGACCATTTATTTCTAAATTTTAGCATAAATATACTGGAAATTATATCTTTAACAATTTAAATCATTTAAAAAATGATATATTATGAATTTGTGGTTCGTTGGTTATGTGCCATGGAGTTGGTTCCAACTCAGCAACCCTTTACAGGGTTTCCAAGGGTGTAAATCTTTATGGGAGCAGAAAACCTCATCTTTCTCCCACGGAACAGCTGGTAGTTTCAAACTGCTGACTTTGCAGTTTGCAGCCCAATTCGTACAGTCTAAATTAGACTGGTAGCTTTTTTCCTCCCTAAATAATATGATTTTAAATTGAAATATACTTCCCACCATTTTTAAGTGTACACTTAGTGTACGGTAGTATATTCAACAAGTTGTGCAGCCACCATCACTATCCCAGAGGAGGCTTTTCAAGCTGAATCACCACCTGCCAGCCACCAGAGGGTATGGTGTGAAGCCCCCCCCCACCCCCCCAAGTCACTGTCTCATGGGCTTTTAGGCCAACCTCACCCTTCTTACTGGCTTCAATAACCATTTTTCTAACCTTAATGTGTTTGTCCCTGACTCTGTCTTATTGGTTTTCATCCATTTTTCTTTTACTGAGATCACTTACAGTTCTGATAGTCTATCTTTTAACCAATATGTTAATAATTTTGCTTTCTCACTCTGCTTGTACCTTTTACACTTTCACAGTTTTCTGCTCCTCGGTAAGGAAAGCAGGCTTGAGAGCACACATGGAACCACCATAGGCCTTCTGACAGGATTTTTTTGTTTTCTTTTGGACAATCGCATGAGAACTTTTGGTCGAACTTTAGGTCTTACATCACAGACCCCTCATGGGGAAATTGGCCTGGGCACACACTGAATGCAGGTTTTGGTACTTTACGAACTTCTTGGTATAAAGGTAAACAAACCAGGGGTTTGGATAGCCTAGTTTTGTTTGAGATTGTATTGTAGGACAGCCTACACCAATACGTCAGATACTAGACCATTTGTGTGCGTGTGTGAATTGAGTGAAGGTTTACAGACCAGATCATGAGTTTTACATTCAACAAATCATATGCTGTGTTTCATCTCAATGACTGCAATCCCTCCATGCAACAACCATTATCTCACTTCCCTCCTCTGGTTCCTATTTACATTCCACCTGCCTTCCCATCCCTTCTCAGCTTTGTCCTCACATATATGTCACCCTTTTGATCTTGAATGATTGACTGTTTTATGGTGAGTAGTGGGTTAATGTGCTTGACTGCAAAGTCGCTTTGAACCGCAGGGTCGGGTCGGCAGTGCTCAGCCTCCGTGGAAGGTCCACTCGCCCACCTCATGTGTGAGTTTGTTTCAGCTCTTATGCTTTTGCTTATGTTGTTCATCCTACCTGGAATCTTTTCCTCCTCTCCTCCCCTCCTGGCCTGTTCATTTTTTAGAGGAGAAAGCTCAAGTACCCCTTTGGTCATTTCATTCTATATAGGAGTTTTCGCCACAATATAAGTTGGGACAGGGATGGTTAATATTATATAGACTTTGTTTCCTAGTGCAGGTCATAGAGTCTAAGTTACATCAGGCTGGATAGTGGTGATGGTCGCACAACCCTAAATTTACTAAAATAGTTGAATTATATTCATAAAACAGGCCTTTTTTAAAACTTGGTGAAGGAGTATAGAGCAGATCAATTTTCCATTCAGCACATTTAACAATTCTTACGCATTGTGTTTCATCTCATTGGTTTCAATCCCTACAGTGATCCTTCTTCCTCCCTGTTTCCATTCCACCTCCTTTCCTAACCCATTTGTACTTGGTCTTTGGGTAAAATGATGCCCTTTTGATCTCAAATAGTTGATTATTCTAAGGTGTCTATACCTTTCTAGTGTTATTGTTCCCCTTGTTGTTGTTAAGTGCCACCTTGTATAGGGTTTCTGAGGAGCAGCTGGTGAATTTGACCCACTGGCCTTTTGTTTCAAACTGACCTTGTGACCCAGTGCACTATCTCACAGCAGCACACCAGGACTCCATTGTTTCCCTTAGAGACCTATTATTTAGCTGACAGCTGAGCCACACGGGTGACTTCAGTTCCAGACCTAAAAGGTAACCAAGGTTAAGTAATTTACCCCAGGTATCCAGTGATTTTGAGTTTTGTTCCAGTTTTCTCCTTCTCTATCCAGGACCTTCTAATGTGATCCCTTTTAGAGTACTTGATGGTGATGGGCCACAATCTAGTTCTGGTCTCAGGATCTTGGAAACTGATGATGTTCAAGTGATCCATTAGTCTATTGGACTAATTGTTTCTATGAGTCTTCGATTTTCATCATTCTTTCTTCCAGACAGGGAGAGAGCAATAGTTGCACCATAGATGGTCACACATGACCTTTTTAAGACCCCAATTTCTACTTATAAAGTAGGATGTAGAACATTGACTTTGTGGACTAAAAATAGGTCATTTATGGTATGTAAATTACACTTTAAGAAAGCTAGAAGGTTTTAACAGGGAAGTCTGATGCTCCAGGCACATTAATTACATGTAACGCTTGGTTGCTTTGATAATCATTTAAATATCTGGATGTATATTTTCAAGTATCACTTTAAGTATACCTGCTTCTCTCTATCTTAACAGGAATCCTACGGCCCCTGAATATTTTGGCATCTTCAGCCTATCAAAATTGTGCCAAGAATGCCTGTCTTATCTCTTCATTGTCTACCCAACATTTTAGTCATATTCAAACATCAGTTGTTTCCTCTGCTCCTAGACTTATTACATCTGTCAGAAACTCAGCATTCGGGCATACTGCAACAATCCTTAACAGGTAGAGTACGTGTGTGTCAGTAAACATGACATTTGGGTAGAACTTCTGAAATACTCATACCTGCAAAGACATCTTAGAATATGATACTCTTTGCCTGCCTCAATCACTTTGCTTGACTGAGTGGGAGGATGTAATTGACATCTGTCTACCTGCATGCCCACAGCAGGGACTGCCCCATGGAGCCCCCTTCTGATGCGCAGCTGTCAGCCAAAGTGGAGGATGAAGAAGATACTACCAGGCTGGGATGTGTGTGGTTTCCCCTCAGTCAGTAAATATTTAGTAAGCACATGTGGGTGCCTGGAACTGTACTTGGTAGAAAGGATACAAAGATTAATAAGCTGAAGTCCTCAAGGAGTTTTCAGTTATGGGCAAATAAATAGAGGAGAAGTGTGGTGGCTGCAGTATACTATGACACATTCACATAGGGATGAAGGGAGGTGGATTATGGGAGGCTTGCAAATTGGTGATAATTGCAATCTAATGCATAGTGTCATGGATTGCTTAACTTTGTTTGATTGTTTAACGTTGTTTTTTAAAAGTCAGCTCCACATTGGTGGGGTGCTTCACTCATTTCTGAGTACAGAAAGGGATTTTACCCCTTAATGAGTTTGACTGCTAAGTTAAATTTTTAAATATATGTTCTAGAGTGGCCCCCTTGCTTCCTAATGTCCTGAAGCTACCAGTCAGAAGTCTAACGTACTTCAGTTCAAGAAAAGGAAAGAGAAAGACTGTGAAAGCTGTCGTCTATAGGTTTCTTCGACTACATTCCGGCCTTTGGCTAAGAAGAAAGGTAAGTCTTTACGTGACTGAAAAGGAGGTAGCAAGTGATCAGAATGAAGCAGAATTCAGTTAGCCATATCATGGGCATATCCTCCCCTAACTTACCCCAATAGGTTTTTTGTTGTTGTTTTTTTTAAGTTTTTATTGTGTCTTATGTGATAGTTTACATGGGAGAACATTAGCTTTATATTCATCCTATCGTATATCATTTCATTGCCATGATTACAGTCCCCTCCATGTATCATCAAACATCCAAAGGGTATACCCCCCAGTCGTCAGCACACAGCCCCTCTCCCTCTCTGGGTCTAGAGTCCCCAGCGACTTCATCTCTCCACATCATCATCTCTGCTTCCATCACTTGCATCACTGCTTCTCTGGGTAGGGTCCCGCACTCCGCTCTTCTCCCTTGATGGTCCCAGGGACTTCTGCTCCTGGACTGCAAAGTCAACCACTCCCGTCCTTTTGCTACAAAAACGTCTACCATTACATTTCCAACCATCACAGTCAGTTTTGATAGCAATTATTCACTATTGTACCACAATAGTCCTATCCCTATCTCCTTTCATTAGCCCCGCCCAGACAGATTAGATGCTATTCAGTAATATCTATCTTCCTCTGCATCCTCTGGATCTAGGCTCCTTCTTGAAAGCTTGTAAGCCAGTCACTTCTTGCCTTTGTATCTCCCCCATTTTGGGTAGACAATGTCCAAGTTGCCCATTCCTGTCTACCCTGTGTACCGAGGGGGTGGGAATGATCCTCACTGCAAAGATTTGTTGTTCTCTCTTTTGAGCTACTGGATCAATAGGTATAGGTCAGGTTCATCAAATTGTATCAGATTACTCTTTTTCCTCTTCTTTCTTCTTCTAGTCGAGTTCTTATCATTCAGCCATTGAAGCCAGGACAAATGGGCATTGTCTGCAAGTGTGGGTGTTCTTGTGCATATGCCTTCTCTTTTTATCAGCTGGACGCTTGACTCTCCACTCTAGTCCTCTGTGGCTATGTCACTGTCTCTGGGCCCAGGAGTCCCCAGGTCTTGCCATATTGCTGGCCAACCAGTTCTCTACCTGGGTTCACAGGAGTCTATTGATCGTGGTTGGATTTAGCTCACAGCTTCATTGCAGTTTTCCCCTCACATCCCCTTATTGGTGACCAACATGGTCACCAGTCAGACTGCATGCCTGCTCATGTATTCCCATTGAGTCTTAGTCTTGGAAGGGGGTTTGCTATGAGGAGACCCGACCACTTGCCTTGCTGGTTCCTGGGCCAGCAACTTGCTTGTTCTTGTAGTAATCAGTCAGACTGTTATTGTTTTTTTATTTTTCTTGTCGGTTTTTCTTTCAAAAAGTATCTTCTGTACTTCTAGCCTTTCCAGGCTGGTCTGCTTGTCCTTTCAAGTGGAAATTTCCCACCTCAGAATATTCTGGATGGGGTTCAGGATTCCACCTGTGGTCTTATGCATTTGTAAAGGCTCTGCTGGAAGCCTCCTTCACTGGGCAAGATGTAGCCCCCTTTTCGGTATTCCAATCAATTATAGGCAGAAGATGGATTTACAAGCGTTCTATGGTGATGTTTCTGGCTATTCCTTTCTCTCCCCCTCAAGTGTCTTATTTTATAATGGCATGCCAGGTAAACCAAGATTCAAAAGACAGCCAAGCATCTTGACATAATTTCCCCTTTCACTCATTCAAACCATGCCTCAATCCCTGTATCCCAGAGCCCTGTTGTTCCAAGGTTGTGCATACATCATTATTTACCTCTGTCCCACATAGTCCATGGAAACCTGCCTAACCGTTCTCTTGTCTGCCTTGTTCTGCCCCCCTCCCCCCAGCACACAAGCTACCCTGTGTCTATTCCCTACCCTGTGCTCTACCTTCCCCTCCCGTCCCTCAACCCACCCCCTACATCCCGGTAACTAGCAAAGATTTCCCACCCCCCACCCCCTTTTAGTATGGGTTCTTTTTCTTAGTCTTTTACAATAGTGGTCCTATGCAGTGTTTCTCCTTTTGTGACTAATTTTCACTCAGCTAGCATAATGTCCTCAAGGTTCATCCATGTTATCCATTGACTTTCAGCTTCCTTGTTATTATTCAGTGTAGCATAATATTCCATTGTGTGTATGTACTGCAGTTTGTTTATCCATTCTTCAGTTGATGAGCACTTAGGCTGTTTCCATCTTTTTGCTATTGTAAATAGTGCTGCTGTGAACATTGGCGTGCATGTATCTACTCATATTATGGCTCATATTTCTTGTGGGTAAATACCAAGTAGAGGAATTGCTATATGCAACCTTCTGAAGAAGTGCCATATTGCTTTCCAGAGTGGTTGGACCATTTTGCAGTCCCACTAGCAATGCAGGAGCGTCCCAATCTCTTCGTATCCTCACCAGCATTTATTGTCATCTATTTCTTTGATCTTTGCTGTTATTGCTGGTGTGAGACGATATCTCATTGTTGTTTTGATTTGCATCTCCCATTCTGTCCAGGACCTTCTGTGGTCTGGGTTAGAGCAGTAGGTAATTACCTTTGAGTTTTAATAACTGTTTAAATCCTAATTCCCTTTTACAATTTAAAGTTAAAAGATTCTCCAAAGACAAAATCTGTTTTCCTCTTTGTGTGTGTTTAGGGAGACAGTGGGTAATTGGTATAACTTTTCTCAGTGTTTCAAAGGTTATTATTGCATATCTTTACAAATAATCCTTGTAGATAAATGAGTGATTTGAATTTTCAGTTGAAGCAGTACTTTGAAAGTTTCCCACACCAGGTGACAAAAGTATCTGTGAATCTTGTGAATTTTGGATCATTGGAACCATTTTCCCCCCCTTTTTGTCATAATAATTATTTCTATGTCTTGGGCTGGCCCTAGAGAAAATGAGATGGATTGTTTTCCTTTCCACATTCCTATTATTGGGTCCTGGAGCCCTCATTTTGTTCTAATGGGCCTGATCTAAGTCTCCAGTCAGAGTCCCTACCTCCTACTCAGACTGCAGAAAGAATCCCAGGTACAGATTGGCCTTCTTCATCAAAGTCTAATTTTATGAAGGAAACAAAATATCTGGATGAGTTAATTGACACTAATACATAAAAATTGAAGATATTTTCTGTGGCACAGTTTCACTCAGCTACCCCTAATTTTGATTGTTTATTCTTTCTATTTGTGAGTTTAGGAATGGATTATTGAAAAAGTTTCAAGCATTTTCACAGTGGCCACCAAATATTCCTTAAGAACACTGGTGGTGGTGGCTAGGACAACAGATGAAGTGTAAATCACAAGATCCATATAGATCTAGAAAATTATTACATGAATATGAGGATTTGGGTTTGAGCCTGTGAATCTAAACTTAGAAGCAATGAGTAACAAGCACCATGTCTAGCAGTGTCAAACCAGAGCTCTTCAGCCAGCTTCCCTGTTAAGCATCCTTGAACTGTAGAAGTTGCTGTCCCGGTGATGGCACTTAAGGCACCTTTTCAGTGAGGAGTTACCCATGTGTTCAGTCCCTGTAGTGCCATAAAGAGGTCTTGACTTAAGGAGAGTCAAGGGCTCTTATAGTAGCCTGGCTTCTAGTCTCACCTCCCTTATAACTTCCTGTGCAGTTTGAGCCAGTAATCAAGTGAACTGGCACCTGAGGTCTCTTCTACTTCAAACAGGCTGTGATGATCATTTTTATTTAAGAAACTGATTGTCATCGAGTTTTTCCGACTTCATAGCGACCCTATTTGTTATTGTTGTTAAGTGCTGTCAAGTCAGTACCAACTCATAGTGACCCTGTATAGTGTTTCTGAGGAGCAGCTGGTGAGTTTTAATAGACTGTACATCTTTATGGAAACAGTTTCTTCTGCGGTGTGGCTGGTGGATTTGAATTGCCAACCTTTTGATTGGAAACCCAACACTTGAACCACTATGCCAGCAGGGATCCTTATAGTCTTTATATTTAGTCTAATTTTGTTTCATCTGAACTTCCTCAAAATTAATAAAGCACAGATAGTATATATGGTAGTTTCTGGGTTAACCAATCCCTTTCAACTCCTAAGAATAGTTTTACTGTAATCGTTATTCCTTAGAAAAGCACTTTCTCTAAAAATTAGTCCCTAGTATGTGGTAGCGTAATGGTTACGAATGGGGCTGCGAACTGCAAGGTCAGCAGTTCAAAACTACCAGCAGTTCTGTGGGAGAAAAATGAGGCTTTCTGCTTTCGTAAAGATTTACAGCCTCAGAAATCCTGTACAGGGTTGCTATGAGTCGGAACCGACTCCGCGGCACATAACAACAAGAAGTATGTGGAAAGAATAAATGAAGCAATATAGTCAAGCATTTAGCCCTTCTGTACTCACCCCCTTATGAATATGCATGGTAATACTCCTTCCATCCCCGTGTTAGGAAAAGCTGATGTGGCTAAAGACTCTTCACCAGCTACAAAGGTCTTCTTTAGGTAGAGTTTCTGTGGTTTTAATTAAAGCAGTCTTTTTTTCCCAACATATAAGTGGGCTTTAAAAAATTCCATTATCTTTTAATTCCATTTTCCTGAGATCTTTTTGAAGCCCCCTCCTATTACATTACTACTATCATTTCAAACTCTACATTTTCTATACCCACTCCTTAATAAGAACCACATCTTTCCAAAGAACATGCTAGCCCTAGTGGAAGTCTGTTCTTCGTTCCCATTGGACCAATAAGCCATGAGTAGTGACAACATCTGTTGTTTCTTACATGATACCATATTCCAAATGTCTTTGTAATATTTTCTAACAGGCTGGTTATAAGAAAAAACTATGGAAAAAGACTTCTGCAAGAAAGAGACGCTTGAGGGAATTCGTGTTCTGCAATAAAACCCAGAGTAAACTCTTAGATAAAATGACAACATCTTTCTGGAAGAGGCGAAACTGGTATGTTAATGATCCTTATCAGATGTATCACGACCGCACGAACCTGAAAGTATAGACCTGAAGTTCTGTCATCACCCAACTGTTCAATATGTATCGTTACGTATAGGTCTTTGCAAACATGAATAAAATTTGATGTAAACTGTACCAATTGATAGACTTAATTATATAATGTTGTTGTTGTTATGTGCCATCGAGTTGGTTCCAACCCATAGCGACCCTGTACAGGGTTTCCGAGGCTATAAATCTTTACGGGAGCAGAAAGCCTCCTCTTTCTCCCGTGGAGCGGCTGGTAGTTTCGAACTGCTGACCTTAAGGTTCGCAGCCCAATTCGTAACCACTACGTTACCATACTAACATTAAAACATAATGGTGTAAACATTCCTAGATTTGGCAAGGGAAATAATTTTAAATTGTACATTATTTTTATCCACTGGTGATGGCTTACCTAATTGTTCCAACTAGTACTATTTAGCTGCCAGGAATCTTAGGTTAGAACAAGCATCAAAAGAGTCTAGAGCCAACACTCCAGCTCACACATTTTGACTTTTACTTGGAAATAATCCTCTATTTGTGAGCCTAGGGATGGATTATCGAAAAAGTTTCAAGCATTTCCACTGTGGCCACCAAATAATCTTCCAAGGATACTGGTGGTGGTAGCTAGGACAACAGATTAAGTGTCTGTAAATCACAAGGCCACAGGAAAAGCAGAAACTGAAGGGTGATCCTGGAACTGAGCCTTCTCCAGGGTCCACAGCAGCTGGAAGTGGTGGTTCCTTCCACTTGGGTTCTGCTAGGCATGGAACTCAGCTCTTCTGACATAGTTGGTTCTGTTCTCTCTCACTCACTAATCTCGCCATTTCGTACTGTTGCCTACTTTTCATTGCTGCTTCCTTGGAGGTTCTTTTCTACATCATGACCCTCAGCCCCTACCTCTAATCTCCAATTGCCAAGAGATTCCAACTGGGCCACCTTTTGTTTGTATACTAGGAATCACCGCCAGTGTTGGGATTCACTGTCCTAGGTCAGGAACCCACCCCTGGCCCACTTCAGCAACTAGTAATGTGTAGCAAAAATGTGAGCATTTTCAAATTAGATAAGCATGGGGGTGGCAACACAATTTACATCTAGTTTACTGGGTTTTTTGTGTTTATAACTACAGTAATTTTTATAGAGAGAATAAGTGCCCATTTATCATGCCCACTCATGAAACAGAAGAGACTATTGAAGACAAAATCTTTCAACCTGTGTTAAATGATGCTGTCCTTTTTGAAAATGAGTCTGTGCACTTGAGAGCTCACATTTTTCATTCGTGAGGATAAACTTTTACCAAACTTTTCCAAAGATACATTGTAGAAATTAAGTGGAGAAAAAGTAGCCTCTGTCGTTTTAGAAATGATGTAAGAATTAAGCGTTGTTCACTAGGAGAGGGCCAGGGAAGAGACAATGAGTAAATTCCATTGGCTGAGTGGTTATATTCTAAGGCAGTGGTTCTCAGCTGTCATCAGAATCAACTAGGAAGCATTTTCAAACGAGAGAGCTTTGCCTGGTTGAGAAGCACTACTAAATAAACGTGTGCATCAAGTACTGTTTCAAATCCAACAGTGATAATAAGATGAAGTTCCTCTACAAATAGAATAAGTAAAAATAATCTATATTGAAGTTCTGTGGCATGTCAGAGTATGAGGAGACTTCATGGAAACCAGTGTGTGTACATTAAAAGGAAACGGATGACAACAGAATATTCTAAAACCAGAAGATGAAGTATGTGTCTCTGAGTAGGAGCAATTAATAAAGAACAGACGTTTGATTTGAGAGGCAGTAAAGCCTGATGTGGTGCTTGCAGGATAATGCACTGGGCCACAGTGTTGGTTTAAACTGGAGGTCAGCGGTTCAAACCCACCAGCTGTCCCTTGGAAACCCTATACAGGGTCGCTATGAGTTGAACCAACTTGACAGCACTTAACTAAAGCCTGAAACATGGACTAACATTCTTTTGTGATGGGTTTGCATTTCATACCACATCTGAGACAGCAGATGCCAGCTTTTACATCTGTTGTCATCTACCTGGCTCCTGCCCTTCACTTACCTCTGTAGTGGGATGGACTTGGTGCCTGCAGATGCTGGGGAAACACACTTTCGCACAGTCTCCATGAACTCTAGTGCAAGTGTGTGCTGCATGGTCTACAGTGGGCGGCAGAAAGCACCCTGGCTTCTCTAAGCCAAGACAGCAGCTAGGGCCACAGCGTCCAGAGATGGAGTGAAGGTGGAAGGGCTGGCATGCATGATTTAGGGAAAGGCTATTTTCATACGTATTATTTTTCTTTTATGACAGCTATGTTGCTATCATCAACATTGACTTTATAGTTGTTTTTATTGTGAATTGAGTGAAGGTTTACAGAGCAGATCATCAGTTTCACATTGAACAACTCACATACTCTGCTTTATTACATGTTTGCAATCCCCTCCATGTGCCAGTGGTTAGCAGCATTTACCTCTATTCACTTTAACTCTTGGCACTTCTCCTTCTGTTTCCTGCTACCTTCATCTTTCTTCTGTTGTATATTGCCTGTCCTGTTACTCATGTTGATGTGTCTATCCTCTAGCCCTTGAGTAATGCTCCCCCCCACCCCCTCCAACCATCATTTGTTGTTGTTGTTAAGTGCCGTGGAGTCGGTTCTGACTCATAGCGACCCTGTACAGGGTTTCCGAGGCTGTAAATCTTTACGGGAGCAGAAAGCCTCATCTTTCTCCTGCGGAACCACTGGTAGTTTCGAACTGCTGGCATTGTGGCTCACAGCCCGATTTGTAACCACTACGCTACCAGAGCTCCTTCATCATCATAGATTGTTTCTTTTTTCAAAAACCTTTTCTTAACTTTTTACAACACTCGTCTCATACAATATTTATCCTTTTGTGATTGACTAATCTCACTCAGCACAATGTCCTCCAGGTTCGTCCATGTTGTGATGTCTTTTGCAGACTCATCATTATTCTTCAACATTGCGTATTCCATTGTGAGTATGTATTAAAGTTTGCTTAATCATTCTTCTATTGATGGGCATTTCTTTTTGATGTGTCTCCTGTACACCGTGTGTTGAGGTATCCTAGTTTCTTCTCCTTTCTGCTCTTTGTCTCTTGATTGGTGCACTTAATCAATTTATATTCAGTGTAATTATAGGTATGAATTGATGGCTGTCTTTTTTTTTTTATGTGTGGTGTTGCTGGTTTATTCCACATCATTTTCTGCACTGAGTTCATTTTGTTTGTGGGTTTTCTTTTCATTTCTGTTACGTTATTGTTTACTGAATCTTTCAGTTTTCTCTTTTTTTATTTTGATGTTCTGGCATATTAATTTTCTTGAGGTTACTCTGTAATTTGTTTATTTTTTTTCCATTTAAAATAGTCTTTTATCTTGAAATCTACTTAATTTCCTTGCCATTTGGAAGTTCTGTATCTGTACTAGTCTCTCTCTTTGTAGTTGACTTCATTATACATTGATGTCTCTGGTTTCCTATTTTCAGTCTTGTTTAAACTTTTTGTTTTTCCCAAGCTGCTCTCAGGATCCTTTCTTTGTCTTTGGATTTTGAAAGCTTGATTATATGTTTTGGTGATTTTCTTTTGGGATCTATCCTGTTTGGGGTTCATTCAGCTTCTCGTATGCTCATCTTCTCATCTTTCATGATGTTAGGGATGTTTTTTTCAAACAATTCTCCAAGAATTGTTTCTATGCTTTTTATCGTGTCATCCTGTTCTGGAATTCCAATCACCCATAAATTGAACTCTTCATGGTGTCCACACAAGTCTTAGGTTTTCTTTAGATTTTTAAATTGTTTTTTCTGATTGTTCTTCTAGCATGCTAGTATTAAGAGATTCATCTTCAAGCTCACTGTTTGCTTCAAATATACTCCTTTGCCCTTTCCATGTATTTTCCATTTATGAAATCTTAGTGTTAATTTTCTAGATTTCCAGTGCAGGTTTTGTGTTGTTTCAGAATTTGCACTTTAATTTGTCAGTTTGTTCTTATAGTGTTTGCCTTAATTTTTCTAAAAAAATTTTCTGCATTCTCCTTGCTTTCCTCAGTCTGTTAATCCTTTTAAGGTACCTAAATATCATTCTTTTGAATTTTTAAGTTAGTTCCATAACCTTTACTTCCTCAGAAGCATGTTCTGGCTTTGCATCTTGTTTTTGTTTTTTTTTTGAGCCATTTTCTCCTGCTTCTTCACCTGAGCTAAAATTGTCTGTTGTCTCTGGGGTATTGTGGGGTTGTCATAGTTGTATTTAATTGATAATTATACATGGAAGCATGTATAGTATTCTTGTTCACTGTTGTGCACCTCAGTTTAAGGTGGGTTTGGCAGATGTTGGCTGCTGTTTATTGTTTATCAGGTGGTATAGGAGCTGGCTTTAGCTCTTGCCCATTGGGCGTGGCTTCAGAGGGTTAGAGTTGTGGCTTGGGCTGTATGGTCATGGTTGGAAAGAGAAAATCCCTCCTCTGTCCCACACACAACAAAACAGAGTAAACAAATAAGGCACCAGCAATGAAAAGAGAAAATAATAAATAAAAACAGGCAGCAAACAGAAAAAAGGAATATAACAACTATAAAGACAAAAGAGGGACAGGGAAAGGGAGCTATAGAAGAGAACAATAAGAGCGAAAATAAAGTGAAAAAATAAACACCTTGTTGTTGTTGTTAGGTGTCATTGAGTTGATACCAACTTACAGTGACCCTGTGTACAACAGAATGAACCACTGATGGCCCTGTGCCAATCTCCTAAGCGTTGCTACTTTTGAGCCCATTGCTGCTGTCACTGTGCCAGTCCAGCTCTTTGGGGGTCTTCCTCTTTTTCTCTAACCTTCCACTCTGCCAAGCATGATATCCTTCTCCAGGGACTGGTCCCTCCTGACAATATGTCCGAAGTATGAGAAACATTGTCGGACCATCCAAGCTTCCAAGGAGCATACTGGCTTCCAGCACAGATTGGTCCTTTTGGCACTCCGTGGTACTTTTAATATTCTCCTCTACACCATAACTCAAATGCATCATTTCTTCTACA